TGTTAGCAGGCTAACAATCAGCCGCAACAAATGAATTTTTGATCGACGAGGCGACAGTGTAAAAAATACATATAAATACATACTCCGTATGTATTAAAATTTTGGGGTAAATATGTCTATGGAAGAAAAAAATGGAGGGGTAGCGGCTCCCATTAGCCACCGCTAACAATGAGTATCACGGTCTCTGGTTCATACTTTCTAATTCATTTTTTTCTTTTTTTTTTTCTTTTATAAAAACTTATTAATTTATATCTATAATCCACTCCTATGAATTTGAATATGCGAATATAATGTAATATGATACTTTCGAAATATGCATTGATATGACATTTTAAAATGAACATAACGTCAGTACTAAATGAACATACATAACTTACAAAGTGCGCATTGATATGAAAATCGAAAGGTTTGATAGTTAAACATCACGACATTTTCATTGAATATCAAACATCAGCTATTGAGATGAAAATCACGAATTTTGTTGAATGAGTATTAGGATGTTTTTACTTGGACTGTAATTTGCTGGTCTTGTCTGGTCTGAACTGATCTGGTCTGATCTGGTAAGGTCTGGTTTCTTTGTATTTTTATAACTATCCAAGTCTGGTCTGGTCTGGTCTGGTCTGGTCTGGACTAGTCTGGTCTGGGACAAATTACAGTCCTAGTAAAAACATCCTTAATGAAATTTTAATGAGCATCAGACCTGTTAAATTATATTTATAATCAATTCTTATGAATTTCAATATGCGAAACTAATGTCGTAATGATACTTTGAAATGTTCATTGATATGCCATTTTATAAATGATCATAACATTGATAGCAAATGAGCATATGTAACTTACAAAATGATAAAATTTGTTAGTTAAACATCACAACATTTTTATTGAGCATCAAATTTCTCTATTGAGATAGAAACCACATTTTCTTTTAAATGAGCATTAATGAGCATTGATCAAGACAATAATGTGTATTGAGCAACAAAACTTTGCAATTAACAAAATAAAAATTTAAAAACTTATTTGAGCATCAAGACATCTTCATTGAGTATTGTGCAATGTTTTCTACTACTTCGTATTGAGCATTGAAATTATGTGAGCAAGATCCAATCTGATCGTGTGAGTTTCGTCGCCATTGATATAACATTTTAAGTCGAGCATAACATCATTACAGAATTAGTAGACATAAATTACAAACTGAAAATCAAAGTATTCAAAAAATAATTTAAAATCTCTAATGTGCTCAATATCATTCGTGCATGTTTATTTCTTTTAAGCGTTATATCCGTTTGAGTCTAACATAAAACTCATTTCTATAAAATGAACATATAATAGATTTATTATTAACAATTGACTAAACTATCGGTATATAAAAATGAGAAATATAATAAAAATTAGTTTCAAAATAATTTATAATTTATTGTTCTTCAATTAGAAAATTAATCATATTCTTTTTAGTATACTCATGGCCATTTATTCATGCACATTTATTTTAAACACTAAACTCGTTTTTTTTTTGGAAGAAAACACTTTACTCATTTTATTGTAACGCATAATTCATGTTTAACACACAATACTAAAATAATTAACAAAAAACTATTAAATTAATAAATATTAATCTTGAAATTAAAAGTAGATACCTTAAATATTTTAAAATTCACATGTCAAATTTTATATTGCATATTTTTCTAAAACTAATATTAATGAAAAAGTTTGGTAAGAAAAAATAGCAAAAAAAGGAAAGAGGTGGCATGGGAGTGACTAACGTAACGTAATAAGAAGCAAAAAAAAAAAAAGGACTGGAGAGGAAGAGCATGATGCGTAATTAAGTTAAAAAGGCCGTTGTATGGTAACCCCGTTGTATAGAAACCCCCTTGTATGGTATAATTTGCGGTACCATATACTATCGTCCTTTCTTTAATTTTTGCAACAGTTTGACTTTCACGTTTGCCAATGCACAACTTTGACTGTAATTATATCTAATTACATATTACTAAACATTATAAAAAATTGATATTTTGGAAATTCACATTGATAGGAATTCAATAGCATTTTCTACGTAATAATTTGATTGTGTATATTAGTATAAAATCGTGGTCAAAGTAAGATCTGTGAATAGTGCAAGAATTAAAGAACGGATAAAGTATATACGTAGTAGTATTTGGGACAAGAATTATTGAGACAAAAAATCTTCTTATGGACATTGTTCTTATAGAAATTATCATACACGTGTTTGTCAGTAGTTATTCGTGTGTCTGTCAATAACTTATTCACACATAAAATAAATACTTGATCATAGGCGTTTGTAAGTGGCATGTACAAAGAAAATTTATTGGAAATTGGAATTGTTGTTACTAAAACACGCAGTGATACAAAGTAACTATTCATTCTTAAAAATTAAATTTTCTTATGGTGATATAATAAAAGTTAAAGACTCGTTATTCAACCGTTCTTTCATACAAGACTTGTAACAATCAAATAGTCTCCATACTCCCAAATCAAAGACGAGAGACACTGTAACGAAATATTAGGAGTATAAGATCATGAGGAAAACTGGAAAAGTAGAAAACATGAGTTACATATTCCTGTTTTCAATTGAATGAAGATATAGCGCAAAAATAATGATATGATAATAATAATAATACTATAGTAAATAGCTATTCATGAAGAAAGTTAGATGGAGTATTGGGTATCCTTATCTTCAATTACACGAAGATATTTAATGATTTTTCTTTAGCGCCTCAATATCTAGCTATAGTATAACGTTTCTATTATTTGAAATGGATTGCTTTTCACGTTGAATATGTGTTTGAAGGAAAATTCTTAAGGCACACCTTGGGTTACACCTCATTTATTTGCCCTTCACACAGATAAAAAATGTAAAAACACAGACACTTTCGATTAAACTGTCGGTGTGAGTTTGAAGATTTGTCAGGCTGGTTGCACGCAAACCAATGTCGGTTTGCACAGACACTAGTTGTTTGTGTAGACAAAAAAGTGTCGGTGCGAACAAAGTTGGTTTGCAAGTTCAGGGGGTGGGAAACTAGTGTCGGTGTACACAGACATTAGTTGTTTGTCTAGAAAAAAGTGTCTGTACATATACAATTTTCGTCGGTTTTCTTTCCTTCTCTCTTTTTTACGTTTTATGCACACCGACACTGATTTGCTTTCAGTGTCTGTGTACACCGACGAAAATTGTGTATGCACAAACACTTTTGTTTGTACACAGACAACTAATGTCTGTGTACACCGACGAAAATTGCATATATACATAAACTTTCTTCTACACCACCTAATGTCTGTGTACACCGACACTGGTTTCTCAACCCCCTGAACTTGCAAACCAATTTTTTTTCGCACTGACACTTTTTTGTCTGCACAGAGAACTAGTGTCTGTGCACACTGACATTGGTTTGCGTGCAACTAGCCTGGCAGATCTGCAAACTCATACCGACAGTTTAATTGAAAGTGTCTGTGTTTTCATATTTTTTGTCTGTGTGAAGGGCAAATAAATGGGGTGTACCCCAGGGTGTAACCCAGGGTGTACACCAAGAAGGATTCGTGTTTGAATACGGAGAATGATTGAACATATTGGTTTGATTTGACTGAACTGTACTGACCGTACGGTACGAAATCGAATCGAAACCAAACCATATGCAATTTGACTTAAATTTAGTACACTTTCTTCTAAACCGTATTAAATCAAACTGAATCGAAACTTATAAAAACCGAACAAAACTTAAGAAACTCAATAAAACCTACATATATTATTAAAAAAACAAATCCAAATTGAATAAATCGAACTAAACCGAACTGAATCAATCTAAAAAAAAGTATGGTTTTTGTTTAGTAATTAATCCTTCTCCCAACCCGTTCCAAATCGAACCGAACCGAACCAAAACTGATAAAAATCGAACCGAAAACCGATATGCCCACACCGAAACTAATAAACAACATTTTCTTTAAAAGTTTTCTCCAATTATATAGAAATTTGTGATTTTTATAGGATGTGTCTAGCTTTAGGACACAGAAGAAGAGAATAAAAACCTTAATTATCCTATTATCAGCCTCATCATTATATGAATATTCTGTATGTTACCTCAACACATTCCATACATAATTAAGTCTAAAAATTACTAAATGACTGTATGTACGACGTTTTTCCTAATTACGGTGTGCGTATTCATGATCATTACTCCTAATTACATCTGTTGATAACAATTACTCCCTCTGTTTCAATTTCTTTGTCACATTTTCTTTTTTTGGACGTTTCAAAATGAATGTCACACTTCCCATTTGGTAAACAATACTCCGTACAATACCAAACAATGCAAAACAGTGTCTAAACAGTGTTCAAACAGTATTCAAACAGTAAAATTTATCCCTAAGTAAAAAAATTCTTTAAATGTTGACATGTCAAACTATGTCAAAGAAAATGAAACGGAGGGAGTATATAGGCTACACTAGGGCCGGCCTAGGCATTAACTATAGGCTACAATTATTTGGAGGCAATAACCAAATAACCATGCATAGTAGTTCTACATAGACATGGACCACTCCCAGGCCGGGCTGGGGCAGGCTTTTTGGGTTTGGCTTCGGGCCCAGAACCGGCCCGGGTTTCCACCGGGTCTGGGCCAGTCCGGTCCGCGGGCCTCTTCATTTTTTTGCTTTTCTAATTAACCCCTGACCCCCCCCCCCCTCGACCCCCACCCCCAAACCCCACCCAAAACACCCAGCCCAACCCGGGAAAAACAAAAAGAAAATGAAAAACAAAAAAATAGGCCCAAACCGGGCCCGGCCGGTTCCTATTTTGGGTGACCCAAACCCGCCCTGTGTAACTCCCGGGCCGGCCCTACCCGGACCGGTATCTGGCTGGGCCACCGGGCCGGGCCGGTCCCAAACTGTGCCGGGCCGGACTAGGCCGGGTCACCACTAGTTCTACATCGAAATCCAAATGCCTAGAATTTATCATAGCACATCTTACTCCACATATGGTTTGAGATTAAAAGCCATCACATTATTTTATTTTATTTTTGGTTGAAAAAAATGGTGCTATTGAAAAGCATGTTTACAAAATATACATTGTTACGGGAAAAGATAAATAAACGAAGTGCATTACAAACTTTGGAGCAGATGGTAGCAATTAGTTATCAACTTTATTGTGAATCCCACTAGGCCACGTTTGGTTTTTTACTTTTTTAAGAATGTGTGAAATCTCAGATAGGATTTCTTCTTCCTTTCCAGATCTCGCAGCTGCTACATTTTCTTCGACCTGCAACCCACCCACAATTAACAATATATGATTAGTTACATTTACATTGTGATGATTGGTTACAGAACAGAATATTTAGAAAGTTTAGTATGACAAACATAGGCTTCTTCCGACATGAAGGTGTGATATCCATGGGCATTCCAACTCTGATTTGATCTAATTTTGCTTAATCAAATTCATTTAATCTTCTGCTAAGTGGTGACACAATTTCCATTAACTTGACTCCACACGCGGCCATGATCTTTATACAATTAGGCTTGCTAATCAAGTCATTTTTATTACAACTAAGGGTATGCACACAAATTACAATTTTAAGCACGACAGCCATTTTCCTGCATATGTATCTTCACAATAATACACCAATATTTTCACTCAAAAGCCTCAATTTTTATTGTCACAACATATCTTGTATGTACACTACACAATTCATGAATGAAGCTGAGCTCATTTCCACATTCTTTCAATAACATGTTTCGTAAGGTTGTAATTGGAGTGCAGAAACATGGTATTGAAAGGAAATATTTTTGTGTTTGGTTTTGACTTGGAAATATGGAGGAAAATAAAATTTTGTTAAACTCTTAGAACTTTACATATATTTATAATTCTTAGCCTCTATATAAATGGATACACACACATAAACGATTTATTGAATTTGAACCATCATTTTATTTTTATCCAGATCTTTCCTTCCAATTTTCCCTCTATTTTGATTTGTGTTTTCTTCCCTTGGCATTATCCTTGTTGCAAAGGTGAAATTTATGTTTGGAAAGTGAAAATGTTTGGCGAAGAAAATATAGAGAACAATATATGAGAAATTTGGAAAGAAAGAAATTGTTGAGGAAAATGAAACATTGGTTTAAAGCCGAATGAGATTATGAAGCGTGTCTTATTTTTCCCATCACACTTTTCCCTTGTATTTTCCAGATGGAAAAAGGCAGATGAAATAGTGAACTCGTTTCAAGAATTGAAGTGGATCAGTCAAGGTCAAAGAAGAAGCGTTACCTGTTTAACGGACATTATTCCAACCAGTGTTGTGGAAATATCTTTATTAGACAAGCTGTATTGAATAGCCATCTTTGAGATGTTTTCCCCCTTTTCTTTGCAATAAGAAGCAGCAGCTCGACATGCATCCTGACAAAGTAAACCATAAAATGAGGACTTGACACACACACACAAAATGAAAAAAACTAAATAAAAAAAAGTAGTTAAATAATAAAAACCTTGAGTTCAGGTGAAGCAGGATGCCACTCCGGAGGTCCAGCCTCAGTAAGGAGCCCCATTGCGAGAGGAGAAGCATTGATCACACCCACACCCTTGCTCTTCAAGTAAGGCAAGAGGTCCTCCAATGTTGAATCATTAATACTGTAGTGGCAATATGAAAGAATTACGTCCACAGTACCTGGTGGGACCCGATCAAGCACGTAAGTAAAAATCCACAACGGAAGTCCAGTTATACCAATGAAACGAACTTTCCCAGTTTCCTTTAGTTTCACAAGGGCAGGAATTGTCTCATTCACAATCTGGAGGTTCAAGATACAAGAGAGAAAATATGAATTCCGCAGAACAGAAATATATATGATTACCCAAATACCCATCAAGGGAAATTTGTAGATTTGTCCTACTCCTACGAACATAACCATTATACACAATACCCCCCCCCCCCCTCCCCCCCCCCCCCCAAAAAAAAAAAAAAAAAATTGCCATGTTTCAACAACCTTTTTGTTCTTAAAAAAGAGTCCCTGCTTTAAAAGTCAACAACTTCATTTTGTAACTAAATCATGCAAAGTCAAACACCGAGCAGTTTAGGTCAATCACTACAAAGTACAAACAATGATTGAAATAAGTCTTAGGGGTATAAGAGACAGTTCATGATTTGTTGTACTTGATTGAGTTGACTAAAACTAAAAAGTTGTACCTTCCTCAAATAGGTAAAGGACTCTTTTTTTGGGGTGGAGGAGGTATAATGCAAGATGAGAAATTTTAGATCGTAGCTCTAATGAAGACTAATCTCAATGTAAAAAAAAGAATGGTTCAAAATATCTAATTCAAAATACAATATTTATGAGTCTATGCACAAGTGTAATACCAGTTAATATCGAACTCTTAATTGAAACACTAAAACATCCATGAAGTAGATAAATGTGGTAGTAGTTCATCAAATGATAAACAGAAAAAAAACATATGAGAAGACATTTTAAAAAAAAGTACCTGATCAAGAGATCCAAATTCAATGTCATGACAATTTAGTATATCAACATAATCAAGCTGGAGCCTCTCCAAACTCTCATCAATACTCTGAGTAACTCTTTCAGCACTAAAATCAAAGCCTTCCTTGTATCTCCCGCACTTGGTGGATACAATGTACTCATCTCTAGGCACTCCTAATGCCTTCAGAGCCTTCCCAAGTACCTTTTCTGATAATGTTCCTCCATAGTACCTAAAAAGCATCAGCAAATTAATAATTGATCTAGAAACTCCAGAAACTCAACCAAGCTACACATGACCAGGAAAGGAAGGAAAAAAACACAAATAGAAACAACAATAATATTAAAAACGAAATCAAGCAGAAAGATAACAATATCAAGGAAGATAAGGGCATACGGAGAGGTGTCGAAGAAATTGATTCCAAGGTGAAAGGCATTATGCACAGCGGCGAGAGCTTCTTCTTCGGGCACATTCCCAAAAACATTGCCGAGTGGAGAGGCTCCAAAGCCCAGGGAGCTAACATTCAAGCCCGTACCGCCCAGTGGTCTGAGTTCTAACCCGCCAGATGCTTGAGTACACATTTTGGTGTCTGGGGATTTTGTGTATTGCTCCTATCAATTGGCTTCAGATTCTAATTTCCTGGAAGAAAGTAGTCAACTCAGACAACTTGCACAGCACCATCCTTTGAACTAGCATCACCCCACGGCATTTAGTAAAACATAATCAATTTTGAGATCAAGTGCATGCATATAAATACTATTTCAATAACTATGATGTCAATTAAATGAATTTAGTAATAGAAGGTTGTTCAGATAGTCTTGACTAACTCAAACATTCTGACAAAGAGTTTGATATATCATATGTGTAATTGTGTAAATAAATAAATTCAAAAATATATAATCAAAAGAATACTGCATTTACACAAGTTCAAATATATAATCCAATAAAATATGATCCAACTATATATGTTACCTTTAATGCATTACTAATTTGTTTAAAAGAAACACATTTGAAAGGTGTTCTTTTTAATTTCTTGCAATGAGACAATTTCTTCTATGACTAAAATAAATAAGTTTTTAGAGATAACTGCAAAAAATTACCTGACATAATTTATATTTAAAACTACACAATCATTATCATCATTACCCCATTGCCACAAAGGCTCCCACCTACGGTGGGGTAAGGGATTTAAAACTACACAATCTAATGGCAAAATTTTTAGAAATAAAAATAGAAATTACTCAATTTAGCAACAAAAGATAAACAATGTTTTAAAATAATACTACATACCATTTATGTTTTCTTCCCTAAATAGAACTTATTTAACCCTATTAAAAGAATAAATTGATTATAACTACCCAAAATAGAAGTCAATTAGTCATATTTTGGGATTTAGACAGTAGTGATGTAGTCGTCCTGTTTATAAATTTTGTCCTTGTTTTAATCATATTGAAGGAACTTTCTCAAATAAGAATTTCTTAGTACAACTACTGCTAGTATCTCTAGTGGTGGATGCGGCAACAGCATAAAGTGGCACACGTTGTCGGCAGTGGCGGATCTAGCACTTGTAGTTTGGTTCAAATTTAATTTAAAATATATAGTAGAATTTTGGGCGATCTAATAGTTTAATAGACTACAGTAAAAATTTCCCAAACAAATCCTTGCTAATGTATGACTCTTTCAATTACAGATCTTCTGCAACAATTTCAAATAGACAAATAGTAGTATAAAAAATTAGTACCCATGAATTTCTTATATGAACTTACCAGTAAAAATACGTTAATGTATATATGACTAATATGAGTGTACTTGTGTGTGAAAAAAGAACAATCCACAACCGAGATGCCAACAAAAGAAAAAAAAAGTTACATCTCATACTTTCATACATGTGCAAAAGCTTAATTCCATTCTTAGTAAAAATCCAGAGAAATATTGTTTGCTTAACAGATTCTTTGCCAAACCTTAACATGTCTCACTGCAAGTGTGTAAAAGGAGATGAAATGGATGTATAGGCAAAAAATGGGTCGGATTCCCCCAAAACAACAACCAAAACAAACACAACGGAAAACTTTTTCTCTGGTGAGGCATTTAAAATAAAACAAATAAATAGCATTGTAGAGATCCAGCAACAATGAGAGCAGTGATAACATTGAAAAGTAAACTTCAAACGGGAAAGGGAAAAGAAAGATCTCCTAAGAACAGTAGCGATGGAAAGAAACCCTGGCCAGCAAATACATAATGGAGACTTGATAAAAAAACGAAACTTGTTGCGCAAACAGCAATACAACACCCATCCTCATTCACACAAATTAAGCCAAAAGCAATATAATCTCAGATTAGGTTTAAGAAAATTAGATTAAAACTAAGAAAGGCTGAGTGCATGAGGATGCTGTAATTACTAATCAGGTATGTAGGAGAAATTTAGCACTGCCTACCTCGAATTGTCTGCTAGGAGTCCAAGGCGCGAGGTGAGGACTCAGTCCGTTCAACCGTGCTGGGCAGTAGGAGCTCGACTGGCTTTGATAAAGGTGGAGAGGTTCCTAGTTCCTACACGCGAGGAGCAGAGGAAGGAACGCCTTTGGTTAAAGATGGAGAGTCCTGGCCCTAGGGGTGGGCATGGTTCGGTTAACGAGAAACTTCTTACTCTTCGGTAGTATCGGTTAACCAAAGCTTCAGTTAACCACAAAACGGTTAACCAAAAACCATGAAAAAGAAAATAATAAACTCATCAAACTACTCCGTATTAAACATCTGATTTTTGAAAAAGTACATAATCAGTCCAAGATTAAATTAGAAACTTTTATATAGCATAAACTTTTTCAAACAAACTCTCAGGCTCCAAAACTTTAGTTAGTCTTTATTACACCGTATTATCTTTCCATGTGTACTATTACTTTTTATTACGGACGGATATATGCTAATATATTAAAAATATGTTATGATAATTAAGGAGGATTGCTTTTTGATTAGGAATATATCTCTAGTTGGTAATTTCCTTCTAGGAATATATTTTCCTTTTCCCTTTACTTTGTATCTCTCGGTTTTAGCTATATAAGAGCGCCGAGCTTCATAATACGAACATAAGAAAATCTTCTTAGAATTATTCTGATAATTAGTTTTAATCTTGTTATGGTATCAGAGCATTAAAACGAAGCTATGGCTGCCGGCGACAATGATGAAACCGGAGGTTCTGGACAGAGCAGGACAGATCACACCTCTCCGTTTTATCTTGGGCCGCAAGATAGACCGGGTGATTTTATCACTCCGGTACGATTAACCGGCGACAATTATGATACTTGGGCTATCGCGGTGCGGCTGTCCTTGAGAGCACGCCGGAAATACGGGTTCGTTGATGGCACGATTACGGGATCTGTTGCTCCATGGACGCAGGAATACTGGTTGACAATCCAGTCCATGATTGTCTCGTGGCTTCTCAATACAATCTCGCCAGAGGTTAAGTGCACGCTTTCTCAATACGAAGACCCTCGTTTGCTGTGGACTGATCTCCAGGAGCGTTACTCTGCTGTGGACGGTCCGAAGATACACCAGGTGAAGACCGATCTAGCCAAATGCACTCAAACGCGTGGGATATATGCTCCTATATTTATGTTATACTCCGTATACGGTTATACTATTTACTATAAGTATAATACTAAAGAAAATGTATACATGTCAATAGCTTTAGCCTAGCATTAGTCATGTGTAGAAGTATATTATTCTTTCCAGAAAGAGCTATGTATGGGTACAGAGTAATTAATTGTTTGTAAAGTGTGTATACTCCACTATGTATGGACGTGAATATACACATACACAAGAATTTCAAAACGGGTAGGAAGTGTTCATTTTCCCGTCTGCGTACCTTCATCAGAACTTATTGTTCGTGTGCAGTGTATATGCATATGAACTTACGGTTACTGGTTAACCAGTGAGGATAATTTCCAAAACCTTAACCGTATCACTAACCATTTTCGCTCCCGGTCGGTTAACCGTACCGTGAGTTTTAAAAATTTCGGTGCGGTTAACCGTAAAAGACACCGGTTTTTCGGTACGGTTAATCGGTTACGGTTTTTTGTGCCCATCCCTACTGGCCCTTGGGTTGAAGATGAAACGACTTTTTGTTAAAGATAATTATGGATACGAGAAAATGGTGAATAAAGTAATTAGGAATAGTTTGGTAAGCTCAACTATTTTAACATTTCAACTATTTTAACTTGTATTTAACTATTTTATAAATACAAGTTGATGGAGCAAATGTGCTTCACGTATTTTAAGGTAGAGTACTACATACTCCACTTCATGTATCATTTTGATCATTTACTCTTACGATACCTATGAGTAAAAAGTGGAAGATAAAAATTAATACGGAAGTCGAAAGTGTAGATTGATAATAATAAAGTTTTGTTTGACATAATTATCAATAAAGAAAAGTTGAAATGATAATCGCAACAATTTAGGGTTTGCTAACAATAATTTCAATTGTTCATTATTTTTATATTATTCCAATTATATGGACTGTCCGCTAATAATGGTCCATGATTGGGTATTACTTGCTATAACAGATCAATTTTGAATGTAAAATAAGCATATTTTATAATAATCTGAATTATGCTAGTTCTTTTTTTAATAATCCCCACCATCAACTCAATTTGTTACAAAAGGTAGATAAATATATTTAAATTTCAAATTTTATAAACAAAAGTTTAATTAAATATAAAAAAAATTATTGCGTTTTAGAAATAAAAAATGTTACATTTTATTTTTATTTTCAGGAAAAAATTGATAAATAATCTTTTTTGGATTATTTTACGAATTCACGATTTTATTGATTTTTAATTTAATTTAAAATGATTTAATATTTTAGGGTAATTAGCTTTTAAATTTTTTATATTTTGAAAATAAGTATTAGTATTTTTATCCTTTTCACTTTCTTAATTTTGAAAATCATGGTTTTCATTTTTTTAAATTTCAATTTCATTTTTCCTTTAAGGTTTTTATATTGACATTTTTACTCCCCTTCTCTATATATTTAAAATATCTTACATGTTATGAAATTTAAATTTTATAAATCATATAAGCTTTTCCATATTCTATAATTATATATTTATATTATTTAATTCTAAAAGCTATCTAAAAAGTTATTAAACTAAAAATAAATTTTTATAATCCTTTTTACCCTTTCTATTTATTTATGCAAATTTTAATTTATAATCTAATAAATTTTTAATTGACGAACCGGCAGTCAGTTAAGGTGGACCATTATTAGTGGAAGGACCATAAAGTTGTGATTATTCTGAATAAACAATAGTTGGGAATTGGGATTATTATGAGCAGACCGCCAATATTTAGAGTTATTACTATCAATTTTTTCAAAAGAATGTCGTGGTTGTGATTTAAGTGTAATAAAGCGGAAATCCTGTAAATCACATATTCATTCGGATCAATTCCATTTATATTACTATTTAAAATGTGATAGACAAAAATATTACTCAGTGTCTATAATTGTAATTCAATGTTTATATCATAGTAACTTACATGTAACTACTACGATGTAAATTTGAACACAACTATAGTCACTAATAGTTACTTAGTAATATTTTTGTCCATTACTTTTTTATTAGTAATATTTAAAAAAGACTAATTTTTTTTCCAAAAAATAAAATTTGACATTTATCAGAACAACTCAAAAATATTAACATCTAGAGATCAGGCGCCATTTTTAAATGTCTATCTCTTAAACTTGATATCTAACTCCCTCATCATTAACTATTTAACCTCCTAAATTTTCAAACTTGTTTAACTCTATGACTACTGGAGCCCAAGAGCCAGGCATAAAGTGATAAAAGTAAATAAGTACTCCCTCCGTCCCCTTTTAAATGTCCCGTTTTACTATATTGGGATGTCCCTATTTTATTGTCTCATACCTTATTTGGTAAAGTTTGTGTGGCTCAAAATCATTCTTACTTTATTCTTACTTTATCAATTAATATCAACCACACAAACTCACTTTTCTTAAAACTCGTGTCATCTTCTTCCGGGACATTTAAAAGGGGACGGAGGGAGTAGTTACTAGTACATACATATTTTGGCTTTTGGTGCCTATAAAAGCTAAAGGCAATCCATTTAATCTTAATGAAAATGAAGAACAAATCTTGATTAAGTTTTCAGTTCTTACCAATAAAAACTTATTAGTTTATACTATTTAGTATCTCAAAATTTGAAATTGAAAGAGCTCTACTTTCTCATAAATAAGAGACCATTGAGTGCCCGAAAATTTGTCAGACGCTTGGCTCCAATCTGACATGCTTGCACGGAGGCAGTGAGGCAGTCAGGTAGGTCTGCAGTGTGGTGTGAGGATCGTCGTGTCATTTTTCGTATAGTTTGCTGAGTTTAATTTTTAAATTTGATGCTTAGCACAAAGAGCTTGCTCGGGAATTTTTATTCAATTCTCACAAACGGCGTCGGTGTTGATATTAATACCCCACACTCTGAAAGTCCAACATAGTCTATTAGGTTTCATATGATAAAGGATGTTTTAGAGTGAGTGTTTTAGACTTTTAGTGAGATGATGGCAATAATAATATAAAGCAAACAAGGAAGAAGATAAAGTGCATATGGTTTGTATTCAATTAGTATATAATTCTTACAACACACTCATACCAACGCCCTGAACATCTAACTTCTAAAGCTATGAAAGCTACAGAGAGAATAGAGAGAGATTACGCTAATGAAAGCAAGTTTGTCAACTATTTACAATGAATAAATGTGACTAATATACTACAAGGTAGGTGGTAGGGACAACGTGGCATGCCCTTCCTGGGGAGTTCCTGCCAATTCTTAATTCCCCACCATTATCCGTGTAGAGCAAATCCCATAGCGAGAAGGTTGCAAGTGTCAGCCCCATCGAGGAGGCTTATCCCGTGTGAGACAGATAGCTCAACCAATATGGCTTACAATCTTACATTCCGAGCATAATTCTCCATTTCCTTACACTAATTGGGCATTTGGGCACATGGTGATATTTGGGCCGACATCCTGCTGACCCCAATACCCCAACATCATGTTGATTGATATTTTGTCATTCTAATTCATTTATGTTATTCATACTTTACCAAATTCATACCAACCACACAATTTCATTTGTTTTTATTATTCATTCTGTTTTCTATGATCTCAATGCATCGATCTCAGAAATAGTGGTGGATCGGGCCCTGTCTGGTTCCGGTTAGGGCCTAGGCCCCGCCGGGCCTAAATGATTTTGGGTAAGGCCCGGGACGGACCAGCCTGGGAGTCTACCGGTTCCGGACCGGGCCAGTTCCGGGTTTTTTGGTGTGTGTTTTCTTATTTATTTCACCCCCCCACCCCTCAAACCCCTCGTTAACACCCATCCCACCTAAACCCAGCCCAAACCCAAAAAAAGGCCCGAACCGGGCCCGGCCGGTTAGACTTTTTCATGCCCCGGAACCGCCCCCGGTTATCCCCTCGGGCCGGGCCTAGGCCCGGAACCGGTTCCGGTTTCCCGGGCCGATCGGCCCGAACCGGGTCCATGACTACTCAGAAAGTTAAAGGCCGCCGGCCTGATGTATTATTTCCTCCAATTCCAAATTAACTTGACATTTTGACTTCACACATATTAAGAAATTTTATGGTAGAGTACACTGTTATGACTAGGCATAGACCGGGCCTCGGGCCGGGCCTGACCAGTTTTTTGGGGGAATGTTGAGGACCAGGCCTGACCGGGCTTTTGTGGGGAAAGTTGAGGCCCGAAACCGGCCCGGTTATCCACCGGGTCCGGGCCGGTTGATTTTTTTTGTTTTTTTTCTTTTCTAATTAACCCCCGACCCCCCCCCCCCCCCCCCCCCCTCACTCCCCAAACCCCCACCCGCAAAACACCCAGCCCAACCTAGGAAAAACAAAAAAATGGAAAAAACAAAAAAATAAATAAAATAGGCCCCAATCGGGCCCGGCCCAACCGGGCCGATTCCTGTTTTTGCTGACCCGAGCCCACCCTATGTAACCCCCAGGTCAGGCCTACCCGGACCGGTCTCTGGTCGGGCCACCGGGCCGGTTCCAAACAATGCCGGGTCGGTCGGCCCGGAACCGGTCCATCACTAGTTGTGACATTGTTTGACACCGTTTTTGGTGTGAATTTGTTTTCCAAATAAGGAAACGAAAACTTGGTTGGGACATCCAAAAATGAAAGTATAAACTTAAATAAGAACAGGAGTATAAAACAATTGGATTTGGCATAAATTACTCACCTCAAATTAAGACATAAATATCAATAGTCCAATTTTGAAGAAAAATGCCTTAAATAGGAGTAAAGGATGTATATTTTCCATATAAAAGAGGGTTGTCATTTTAAAACTATATTGTCACACTATGGCATCAATAATGTCATATTATACTGCCGCATTTTATTGATGCCATATTATGATAGTATGATTTGAGGGCAGCAATATCCAAGTCCTATTTAAAGAGAAAAATAGCACATCTTTCTGTCGAAATTACCTTGTTTTTACTCCTATTGAGAAACTTCCCGTTTTTTAAACAATGCTGTCAAAGCGTGTTATTTGAATTCTAAGACAAATAGGCAAAGTTGACTAGTAGGCGCAATGACGAACAGCTCGGTCAAGCTTGGACAATATCACAATATAACAATGTACCTAAAAAATAAAACAAGTCCAGGAAAAAGAGAACAATTGGTAGAACAGTTCTAGTTATCACTTGTATAGCTGCTTGAATCTCCGGCAGGCTTCCAAAACATTCTCTCTGTGTCCAAAGGCACTAACCCTAACAAAACCTTCTCCGGCCGGTCCAAACCCACTTCCAGGGGTGGTTACAACATGAGTCTTCTCAAGAATCTCGCCAAACACCTCCCACGAGCTCCGGCCAGGAAAATGGACCCACACGTATGGTGCATTCTTTCCTCCATACACCTTAAACCCTAGTGAAGTAAATGTCTCCATTATGATACTCGTGTTCTCTTTGTAATAGCTAACTGTTTCCAACATTGCCTGCAAACATTATGCAAAAAAAATACACATGGTAAAAAATGCTCAAATGTGCCGCCACATCATGTACTATAGTCTATACAACTTACCTCAAACCCTTCTGGCGAAAGGCATGCAAGACCCCCAGATTGTGCAATATTTGATGCGCCGTTGAAGCATGTACAGACAATGCGATTGAAATCCTTGGCCACAGGGAATCCATCAGAAAAAAGGAGAGTTTTTGGAACGACGGTCCAACCTAAGCGGACGCCAGTGAAGCCAGCATACTTGGAAAACGAGGACACCTCAATCGCAACCTGAAGGTCAGCTACAATATTCATAAGAGGGTTTCCATGCAGGCAGTCCGGATCATGTGAGTCACACAGATGTACCACGAGATGTGTCACTTCACTAATTTGGTTTAATTACATTTGCTCCCCCTAGGTTTAGTCAAACTACCAGAATACCTCTGAGGTTTCTGAAAATTACATATGAACACCCCTTTGTGAAGTCAAACTTTCCATAAATGGCAACAAAAGATGATAGTGTATTATCATACTAGTAGGAGTCAAGTGTTCTGGGACTAAATTAATCTCAATATTTCTCTAAAATATTACTCCCTTGGTACCATAAAACTTGATAAATATTGACTTGCATGTGGAGCTATAAAGTAAAAGCTCTGTGGTTGAGAACTTGAGATATGTGTAGAAGAGAAAGAAATAACGTTGACCACACATTTGTTACTTTGAAAGGAAATGACGAAGTTTTTTGGGACGACTAAATAAGGAAAGTTGGCAAATTTTAATGGGACGGAGGGAGTATTTATTCTAAAATCCATGAACATTTTGTTAATCATATCCAATAAAAATAAACACAATATTCCTAAACAATTAAATCCTGATAAAATTATTATATCTTCCCAATTACCATATTCAGTATTTAAGGTGTCATTCTCGGGATATTGACTAATACAAGAGTTTGAAATTTTAAGAGACCTAGGGCCTTGGGGGATGCAATTAACCTTAACTACTTAAGCTACAGGTATACAATAGAAAATTAAATAATAAACTACATATATACAGGGAGTATTTATTTTATAGAATCACTCATTCATGATAATACTTTTATGTAATTTGTTTACGTAAATACAAAAATTACATAAATAATTTTCACACATTTTACAAAACATTAAAATATAAATGGTGGGTTGTTTCCAAAATAAATTTTTCATTGTTAAAATATATAATTGTAGCTTATATAAATAAGTGACATTCCACAGTGGGACTTTGTATGTTTACAAAACATTACCTCTTTGGCTCCTGGAATCTCAAATATGGATTTTGGGCTTTCATCTGATATATACATTGCATATGCAGAATCATAGACTAAGATTGACCCATTGCTCTTTGCAAATTGTACCAATTTGGTTAGCTGGTCCCTTGATGCGGTTGAACCAGTTGGGTTATTAGGTGAGCAGAAAAATATGATATCTGCCCGAGGAACAGATGATAGGTTGGGGAAAAATCCATTTTCTGGTGTACATTTCATGTAAACAATATTCCCATACTTCTCAACATCTTTTTGGTACTGCCCAGTTTGGCCCAATATCACACTGGAATCCACATAAGCCTACAATGAAAAAGGAACAATTAAAAACTTTATATTGAACTGTAAACCCTCCTCTTCACAACCTGATGATGAAACACAATGAATTAAATCCCCAATGAAACAGCACAACTCCATAACTGTTAGAGAAACCTAAAGGCATATTTGGGATATCTTATTGTGCAAGTGATTTTACCACAATTGCTTTCTCGTTTAAGCACTTAAAGTACTTCACTGAAAACACACCAATCTGTTGCTTTCTTAAATAAGCATAAAATGTCTTTTTGTATCACAAAACATTTTTTCCCTATTTTCCTGCCTAACGTTTTTCTGAAGCAAAAGTATTTTTGTTCCTCAGAATTCCTTGAAAGTAAGTCATCCCAAATACTCTTGAAAAATTTACCGGGTATGATGGGTCTTGCACAGCCATGATCACATTAGATCCAAAAAGAACCTGAATGGGAGAGAAATGTATGCATTATACACAAGCATTATGCACATCATTAGACAAGCAGTTAACAAGACAAACAAAAAAGTCAAACCTGAAGGCGTGATATATCACTTTTAGCACCATCTGACACAAAAATATCATCATCCTCTATGTCAAGATTTGAGTAAAAAGTTGATGCTATTGAAGATCTCAATTTCTGTTCAACAAAGCACAGATAAATATAAGACATTTCTTAAAGAAACAAAACTGTAGTCAAACTTCTATCACAACTGAATGAGTGGTAGATAATTATACTCCCATCATCCTTATTTATCTGTCTTCATTGACCAAACAAAATGGTTTAAGAAAGTGCGTATGAGTGATAAGTTGATCAAAACATTTAATTTTCTCCTAAAATTCCCTCACTTAATACACAGTAATTAATTACTACCTATTTAACGTCCTTGGTATAAGAAGGGTGAAATCTGGAGAAAAATATATCTATATGCATAGATTTTATAAAATAAGAGATAAAAAGAAAAAATAATTATGGTCAATGGCAGATAAATAGGAACAGAGGGAGCAACACTTCAGGACCAATAAATAAAAATGCCAATCCAATGTTTATATACTTGTTTGAGTAATGGAAAGTTAAACGTTCGAGAGAATGAAGATAAGACGTACCTTTTCTCCTTGTTCAGCTCCATAACCACTGTAACCCTCAAGAGTAGACAATGCATGGGCTCTCTATCAATGAGTAAAGCAAATGACAAGTCAATTAGGAAATCGATTGTCCCTCAGTTTGTAAGTCAAGAATCAAGATTAAAAAAAGGATGGCAAACTTCAGTAGCTGTCTGTCATAGAGAAGTCCTAGAAATCTCTAGATATGGGCTTAATACCTGTATAAATAAAAAAGTTCTCTTGAATTTAATAATGATTTTTCTTTGAAAACTTCATAACCAATTTTTTGTCAGTAACAAGAAGGAATAACAAATAGCAAGCACTGAAGGAGGAATGATAGTTTGTAAGCAGTGCTTTTACTAAATAAAGACCAACATTGTTCAGGGCCGATGAATGTGAATGGAAAACGAAGGCAATCCAATAGAGTCCTCCCAGGGCCCAGAAAATGATAGGGAAAGAAAATAGCTTTTATACAATTATACAGACTAAGAAATCTAAAAATACATCAATAATAAAAAAAACGTTAATCACATTTTACTTTATTTTTTTATTTTCTAAGCTAAAACCAAAGATAAGAAAATAATTTCCCTAGACAATATCTTTCATTCGCCTAGAATTTTCAACGTTCCAAATGTACCATATAAGTAACAAAAAGAGCATTATAGGTGATTGGGTTCAGACACAAGATTAATGTACAAAACGCCACCTTTGCCATGGCAGATGTTATCACTTCAGGAATGGGTTCAGTAGTGTCTCCAATTCCAAGGCTTATAATTTGGGTGTCAGGGTGCTTCAACATGTGTGCAGCTCTCCTTCTAGCAATCTAAGAAGGAAACAACAACAACAATCATGTTGATTATCTTGATTTCTCTTCATTCACATTCTATCATAGCATAGAAAAAAATTAAGAAAAAAATAGTAGCAAAGAGGGATGTAGGAAAGATAGATACGGACTTCAGGAAAGAGATAACCAGCTTGAAGTTTCCCTAAGTTTTCATTGCGGGAGACGCTGGTCTTGAAAGCTTCATAGGATACATAATTAGGAAAAGTCAATTGACTAAACAAACAATGTATAAATAGAAAGATGTGGCAAGACTCTTATGCTAAGAACGCAAATATACACAATAGCAGTATAGCACATTCCAGCCAAACTTGCAACAAGCAAAGTTTGGATATGAGATCATACAATACATTCTTCATTCTTTTCTTGTCCAGGTGTGTAGGAACTAAAAAAAGAATAACTTGCCAATTTTAATTTTACTATATATTCCCTCCATTGAAAAAAAGTCATGTTTCAACTTTCAAGAACTTTTTTTTATATCCCTAAAAAAAGAGTAGCTTTTTATAAACAAGACTCTCTTTTCACGACTGTGGGAGTTTTATGGAACTAAGAAAGGCAATATATATATATTATATGCCAATGATTTAGTAATGGTCTAAATTATTGGAGTAGAATAGTTAATGCCCAATTCACTCCCTTGGTCGTTGTCTCGTTGACTTTCATGTGGACTCGATTTGGTCCTTAATTATGCAATTTCAACTCAATTTAGTCCTGCACATTTCACTCTAATTACTAAGAGTAGTTTTGTCAAATAATGACTGAATTAAATCCAAAATTTATAGCCGAGTACAGTCTTGAGTCCTAAACTGCGTCTATATATTCTGAACTGACAAAAGGTACCACACTAATTTGGAGTCAAATATGTGTGAAGACTAAATGGCATAGATAGTTAACAATTGAGACTTAAGTGAAAGTCTAAGGACAAATTGAGTACCAATATACAGTCAATGGGATAAACCAGGTATTAGCTATTATTGGAACTACATGTTTTTTTCATTTTTAAATCATTATTCTGTGTATTGGGTAGCAATGTATACCAGTTTTCTCTGGTGTTGCAACACATCTCACAATCCCAGTAGTTGTCCGCACTAGAGACAATTGTTGAGCCCTGAAAGAGATTGAATTATTGAGCTTTATCACTATAAAAATTTGTTCTTCAAGAAACTTATACAAGTGATACAACTGTCACAGAATTTAATTGATGAAACTCAATACTCATTACATAAATGAACAATGTATTCGAAATGAATACCTTAACTTGAGCTTGTTCTGGCTTAGGAAGGCAGATGATGAAGAAGCTACTGAAGGACAGAGATTAGGATGAATCAAAGCCATTTCTCAAAGGCTAGAGAACAAAACTGCAATTTTCAGTCTTTGACCAATCCTGGACACAATATAAAGTCGTAAGGCTTCATTTAGGGTAGAACAGTGCACGAAGTCCAAACGTGCATGACTGTCCACCGCGAAAGAGAGACGGAACATTTTCAACATAGAACCACAGACCCAAAACTTAATGTAATAAACTATGTGAACAAACGTATAAAAATTGCAAGGGAAAAAAATAACAAAAAAAAAGAGCTCAATAGGAGAAAGAGCTCAAAAGTCAAAATAACATTGAAAGAATAAAAAAGTATAATTTTTGGAAGAAAAACAAGTAGCATTCTAGGTAGTTTACTCGCTACTCGGTCAAGGGCCGAGTAGCGAGTAGGACCGATTACTCGGGATTACTCGGTGATTACTCGGCCTTGTATTAATTAAATTAATTAAATATAATAATATAGGTGCCGGAGATTATAGAAATACAGTAGTCTTAAAATAGTCTTTAAATTGTCTTAAAATGCATAGAAGTGAATAAAAGAATAGAAATCCTATTATCCTAATGATGGAGTAGCAAAAGTCATAAAGCGAAAGTGATAAAGCAGTCAATCATCTAATAAGTTGGTTTGGTATTAATCTTCATTGGGTTCAAGGTCGTGATTTTCTTCTTCATCCTCCATGTCCCCAAATAGATCTTCTTCAAATACTATTAAGACTATTAAATATAAGTAATTAGTAATACATTGACTTAGAGTTCAAACTCTGGTTAATGCTATTATTAGATTAAAATATGGTTTTGAGTTTCTGTGATCTTGATTGCACTAAACTGCCATATATGCAGATTCTAAGTTTATTCTTGATTGCACAAACAAATTAAACAAACTTCTGTCTTTTGAAAATAGCACAAACTTCTGTCTTTTGCAAACCCCAGAATAAATTCATTAAGTTATAATACATTCATGCCCAGGATAAAATTTAGCAGTAATTGAGTATGACAAAATCTTTAAACTTCTGGGGACTAGGATACATGCCCTGATGCCCTTACTCCTATATACATGCCTTTCAAGCTTCTGGGATAAGATTGTTATTCAATACAAAATGTGAGTATGACATTTGATACAAATTGAGTAAGTGGTTAGATAAGTAGATTCAGCACCATTAGAGGCCTGACCAGACTGAGTAGAGTTCATGACTGTAAATTAAAAAATGTTTGTGAGTGTGTATTTATCATTAAAAGACAGTAGGGGGACTGGGCAGAATAAGAAACCAGACAGGCAGACAGGGGAGGAGATTCAGGGGAATATACGAAGCTCCAAATATCATGATTCATGAGGGAGAATAAGAAACCAGACAGGGGATAATCTCAATTTAATTTTTTTAAACAAGAGGGAAGAAGAAGAGGGAAAGAACTTACCTGTTCACGTCACAATAGCAGCTCCTCGCAGCAGCCGTGTAGCACCCGCAGGTCCTCCGGTCCTCCCAGTAGCAGTCGCAAGTTTAGTAGTAGAGGTTGCAGGTCCCGGCAGTAGCAATCGCAGCTCCAGGGAGTGGAATAGCAGCTTTGGTATGCGCAGGGTTTTGGGGCGAAGCTCCAAGCGATTAAAATTTTAGCTTTTTTTTTGAAGTATTAAAATGCTAGTGCTACTGGGTTAGGAATAAAGACACGTATATGACTAATAGGTTAGTGAAATACAAAAAAGTGACTGCTTTTCCTATTTTCCAAATATCTGACTTATCCGGCCCGTTACTTCCATCCCAGCCCATTATTTTGTTTTCGTCTCTGAAGCCAGGCCAACATCATCATTCATCAACCAAGGAACGCCATAGCCTGTCGCATGAGCAGACATCTCCAAAGGCCGTCGTAGGAGCAGAGGAGACCACTCCCCAGGCCATCTGGCCCATCTCCGTCGCGTCCACGGACAGAGCAGAGGGATCGCCGCCGGGCCGCCCTCGTCCTAGTATTTGCCGTCCGCGCTCCCGTCTTCTCCCTTCGTAGTGCGGCCGGGTGATCTAGATCTAGATTACGGCAGCTAGCTTTGAGGTTGGGAGGTGGTATTGCGATGGCTTGGGCCGGGATTTGGGACAAGGGCTGGGGCAGGGGAACTTTGGGACGGGACTGGGGCAGGGGCGGATCTAGAAATTATAACTATTGGGGGCACCAATAAAGAAAGTTTAGGGAATTTTTGATTTGTTTTTTTGAAAAGAGGAAAATTTTGAATTAAATATATATGAAATTAACTTTAAACAATAAAATAACCAAATATCAGCAAAATAGATGAGTTTTTTGTTTTGAAATAATCATTCAAATATGGTCGTTAATTTATTGTGCAAACTTGATTTAACAATGTTAACGCAGAAAAGTTTCCTTTTATTGCAGGGGTTGCAACGGGTAAAATCAATAATTTAAAAAATACCTATGTTGTCCTTCACCTTTGTCCAATTTTAATTTTCTTGTCTGTTTCGTTAATGTTTTCTAATAACATTTTTGGTAATATTTGATGAACACAATTTATTACGAGTATTACTTTATTAAAATTCAATAATAATGATCATACAATTTTCGTTTTCCTAATAATTGCACCAAGCCACTTCCTCATATTCTAATTCTACAAAATAAAGTAGTATACATTCCCCATAAAATATATAAAACTCAAACTCACACCACTAAATTGTCAACGAATGCTACCGAACTCATTTAAAACACACAAAGTTAAATTATAAGGAAATTCTACAAATTAAATTTTGAAAACTCTAATCCACAAAAAGATAAAGAACTGATAATGGATTCATAAAAATGTAATTATCAATTAAGAAGGTAACAAAAAGTGTTGAGTTGTTGACCGTCCCACATACTTTGTATATTGGGTGCCTCCCTTATTTCTATTGGGGGCACCAATTCATTTGTATAAATAAATATTTAAAATACAATAAAATTTTACTAAAAAGTGGAAAGTCATTGGGGGCATGTGCCCCCATTAAATATAAGATGGATCCGCCCCTGGACTGGGGGGAGGGTGCGGAGGGGGCTGGGGGTTGGGGAGGGGGCTGAAGAGGGGCTGGTGGGCTGGGGAGGGGCGGGGTAAGGCAGCGGTTGTCAACGGGTCATTGTTGGGGTGTTTTCGGGGCTGAGTGCGAGTGTGGGAGTCGGGTGATCGGTCGCGATGTTGGTGGCGACAATTTCACCGAACCGGAAATGGTCCCAGTGACATGTTTTCCGACGGTAATTGTCGAAGTAGTAAATGAGACGGTGATCACTGGAGTGGTACTAATTGAGACGGACGGTGTCACTGGAACGCTAGCTAGTAACTGAGACGGTGGTCACTGGAGTGATGGTAACTGAGAGTCTGAAACGATGTCACTGGACTGTAGTATTTATGATGACAGTAACGAGAAAAGTAAATAATTGAGACGGCGGTCAATGGAGTGGTAGTAACTGAGACGCTGTCATCTACGGCGGTGGTAAATGGAACGATAGTCACTGGAGCGGAAGTAATTGAGACAGTGTCACTACTCATTATTGCGATTGTAATTAGGATAATGACCTGGAGCGCTAGTTGTAACTGAGATGGTAATCACCCCGATAATTGTCACACAAATTTCATTTACGAATTTCTTTTTCAGAAATAAAATTAAAATAAAAAACATTAATTTTATAGACTTTTGTATTGTAAATAGTTACAGATTGCATTGAAAATTAGAAATATTATTAAATTTAAAAGAGAGCAGTACGAAGTATATGCCACGTGTAAGGGTAAGTTGATTCGGAAGGTTGATGGTGTTTACGTGTGAGTGTTTCCAATTGTTTCATCCGTTCGGTCACGTTTTTGTCTTTTCTGAATTGAACTCACTTTTGTGGAACCGGATCTCTTAATGCTAATATCAGTGTGCTTTTCCCACTGGGTTATCTTGAGTTTTTTTTTATTAATGCTAATTAAAAATATATTTACCAATCTAAAGCTGGGTTAATAATAATACCCAATCTACTGCTACCCTAGTTAATATAAAGCCCCGACTTACGGTGATCTCACCATACGAATACTCCGTACTAAAGTTACTAAACAACAAACCAGAAACGTAGCAATTAATAGGTTCCCCAAATTATAAAAACCATTTTTTCCTTTAAATAGCTATAACTTTTTTTATTTTTGCTCCATTTTCTATAAAATATATATCAAAATTCCTAATTTTTTATGAGCTTTCATTTGACACCAAATTTGCATATGTAACTAAAAAAATCTGAAAGGCATATGGAGCTTGTTTGGGAACTCTTTTTTTCGACTTATCACTATTATCAACCAATTTTTTCATCAAACATGAAACTTTTGATTTTGTGTGCTTATTGTTTAATAATCAAAATAAGTGAGGTTGAAATTACTTTTCTGACTGTATTGGCTGAAGTTACTATAGAATGTATAGATGTATATTTTAGTTATTTTTATTAATTTTATTAATAGGAAATATTTTGAGTTTTTTCCGAACTAATGTTAATTGAATAAAAGATTAAGAAAATAAGGCTGGACTAATAATTACCGGACCAAGTTTAGATTTTTTCTCCGGGTTTTTATCTTCAGATTTGAAATTAAATAAGACACTATGAGGTCGTTTGGCAACACCCAGGATGTTTTTACTTGGACTGCAATTTGCTGGTCTGGTATGATCTGATCTGGTTGGTCTGAGCTGGTCTGGTCTGGTTTCTTTGTATTTTTATAACTAGCCAAGTCTGGTTTGGTCTGATCTGGTCTGGTCTGCTCTGGTCTGGGACAGATTACAGTCTAAGTAAAAACATCCTCAAAGTTGACTGAATTAACTGATTCTATTGAAATTTATGAAGTTCAAGTTGACATGAGTGTATTGGTTGAATCGGCTTATTTGTTAAAAAATTATACTTAAAAAAAATTATTAATAAAATAAAGAATAAAACTGAAATGGACATCTACAATATCTTCAACTAATGTAATAAAAAAATAACTCCAACCTTACTTAATTTGATTATTACAAAATTCAACACACGAATTCAAAAATTATGTGCTTGGTGAAAGAGTTGGGTGATAAAATTGATAAGTTGAAAAACAGAATCACCAAACGGGTTCCATATACTTTTTTTTTATAATTTGAGGGGCCCAAATGAATTGCTACGTTTTTAGCTTAGTGTTTGACTGTTTGGTACTGGTATATCGGTGAGATCACCGGTTATGCGTAACTTGGGCTTTGTTTTAACTAGGGTAGCAGTAGTCTAGGAATTATTATTGACCTAACCTTAATTTAGTAAATATTTATTTAACCTACATTAATTTAGTAAACAACTCGGTTATCTTCTCTCCTAGTACTCTCTACTCGGCCTATGACCTTGGAGAGTAGCACCTTAACTCGGCGCGAGTTAATATTCCGAGTTACTCGGCGAGTTAGGCTACTCGGTGAGTCGGTCAAATGGGCGAGTTACTCGCTATTACTCAGTACTTATAAAAAAACTGTGCTTACGAAAACCTAAAAAATTATAGGTTTTCGTAAGCTCGGGTTTTTTTTATGTACCGAGTAATAGCGAGTAACTCGCCCATTTGACCGACTCACCGAGTAGCCTAACTCACCGAGTACTCGCCGAGTAACTCGGAATATTAACTGTGGCCGAGTTAAGGTGCTACTCTGCAAGGTCATAGGCTGAGTAGAGAGTACTCGCCGAATGATATCACTATTAAAAGAAATGGAACAGAGAGAGACTGGCTAATATTTTAATGAAGAAGATAGGAGGAAGATTTTGAGTATCCCTATTAGTTCTTATGACAGGAAGGATGGTTTTTGGTGGAATGGGGAGAATAGCGATGTTTTTTCTGTCAAGAGCTGTTACCGGCTACTTACAGCGGAGCTACAGACTGGAGATGAGACTAACTGGGCGTGGCTATGGGATTCGTATATTCCGCCGAAACTTAAATTTTTTGCTTGGCAGGTTATTGAAGGCTATCTCCCTACGGTTGATAATCTACGAAAAATGAGTACAGGTACACGAAGGGTGCAAGGTTTGTGGGGATGATAACGAAACGACAGATCATGCGTTTCGATTGTGTGTTCATGAAAAAGGAGGTCTGGACGCAGGTGGGCGTCGATCTGGGACAACTGGTGGACTCTGTGGCTACATGGATATGGCAGCAACTGGGAGGAACAAACGAGAAAGATCGATGCAGATTTATTTCTATTTTGTGGAGCCTCTGGAAGAAAAGGAATTGATGTGTCTGGAAGGATAGGTGGCAAGGGACTGCGGGGATTCTCAATGCGGCGGCAAGAATAATTTCAAGTTGGAGAGATGCTCAGGATGCTGGACGAACAGAACAGGAAGGAAAGAAGCTAGTTCCTTGACAGTATGGAAACGACCACAACATGGCTATGTCAAGATTAGTGTGTATGGGGCAGTGGACGAGGATAAAAATATTCGGACCTGGGGTGGGTTGCACGAGACCACCATGGAAATTTCATTAAAGCAAAAGGGGCTTCGAACTAAGTATGGGGCACTGGCAGAAACAGAGGCGGGGGGTGTTTGGGATGCATTGTTTGGGGCGGTCGAGGCAGGCTGATCACACGTGGAGATTGAGACTGGTGCTCTCTCAATGGTCCAGGTAGGGGTGGACTCGGGCCGGGTGGCCCGACCCGGAACAGGCCCGAACCGGCACTGTTCCGACCCGGTCAGTGACCGGTCCGGGTAGGCCCGACCCGCTGGGGTTCCGGTCCGGGCTCGGGCCCCCTAAATCACGAACCGGCCCGGCCGGTTTGGGCCCGGTTCCGGTTCGTTTTAATTTTTTTTTTTTTTTCATTTTTTTTGTTTTCGGGTTGGGCTGGGTATTTTGGGCCATTTGGGATGGTTTGGGGGTTAACTAGGAAAAGGGAAAAAAATAACTAGGGCCCGAGGCCCGGCCTGACCCGGATCCAGGGAGTACCCGGGCCGGTTCCGGGCCCCCCATTCCTGAACCGCCGGCCCAGCCCAGGCCCGAACCGGCCCGAGTCCACACATAGGTCCAAGGGCTCAAAAATGGGGGAGGATCCTCTTACCTTTTCCTTATCCTTGAAGATATCATGAATTTTTGTAAACAAAAAAATAACTTTATTGTCTCTTTTTGTTAGCAAGAGCACATGTTGCCCATGCATTAGCAAGAGCACACGTTGTTATCTCAGATAAGTCCCTAATA